GTGTGTGTGTGTGTGTGTGTGTGTGTGTGTGTGTGTGTGTGTGTGTGTGTGTGTGTGTGTTTTGCTTTAATTCAGAAAGCTTAAAACTTAATAATACCATATTAAAATATTTTGAATTGATCATTACAGAAACTTTATATAAAAAAATATGTTAAAATTTAATCATTATTAGATATATATTTTTGTGCTGACAATTACCTAAGTTATTATGAAATGATAATTTTAATTATAATATTTTAACTATATAAAATAATTAAGTTATAATAAGACTTTGAAATAGCATTGTTTTTTTACTAATAACACAGTTCAATCTAATTAATGTATAGAATATAAATGACTAAAAATTCTAGAAATTAATAAATTTGCAATCATTTTATCACGACATCAGTAACAATGAAATATGAAAAATATAATAGTAGAAAAATATAAAGATGCGTAGAACTTTAATCCATAATTTTATATAAATAATATTTTTAATCAGCTTATATTAGTAAATAAATATTGGATTTATTATATTTATTAAAGAGTGCATTACGTTCTAGGACACTTTCCACACTTTTTTTTTCATGATCAGACACTTCCAACTTGAGGCACACTTTCTCATCTTCTTCCTTATGTGTTTTGACACCAATATCCCTCTCGTTTGGTTAAAGGAAACAAGAAACTAGTTAATGGTGGGCCATATTTAGTGAGCTTATAGATAATTGAGTTTTCTAGTGACCGTCAGATTTAAAATGGAAGAAGATTGGATGGTTTGAATTAGTTGTACTGTTGTTTAAAAAAAAAAAGAAAATGAGCACATAGAGATAACGAAGGGCCATATATTCTTTTTCAGTATTATTAAATCACATCCTCACCCATGTATTTGTTAGCTGATTTTTTGTTTTATAACAAACATTTAGCTTTTTTTTTGGTACAGCAAATTATATTTTTTTTTCTATACATTTTAACATCCATTTTGATATATGTTATATAATTTGTAAATTAAAATTGTGGACAGAAAAATTATGGACAAGAAAAATGCTAACAAGAAAAAGTTTAGAAATATGGACAGGAAAAAAAACAAGAGTTTACATCATCCGCAAAATCTCTAATAGACACACCACAAAACATAATCACAAAATATAATAGACATGAGAGTTGGTCGTCGTCTTTTCCACAACGGAGGTCGGACCTGCTTGTCGTCACGTCCTCTCCAAACCGGAGCTTGGATCTGCTGATCGTCCTGTTGTTCTCTCCACAACGCAGTTCAGACCTGCTTGACGTTGATGATCTCTTCTGCTTACCGAATGCAGTATGTGGACGAGTTAGGTGATCAAGTTATGGATGTGGACATAGTGAGATTATGGTCGTGGACACACTATCTGAGTTACAAGTGGGCATATAATGTTTTTTTTTTGGCCTAATGTATAAGCTGACAATAGAGATTATTGAATGAGTATCACATTTATTCAACCAATACAATAAACATTTCACATTTTAAAATTTCTGAGAATTAGAATTACAAAAAAATGTATTAGCGAATCTCTGCATTATGTGGATGTGGATACGTTTTTCTAACGATGAAAACATTGTCATTTGTGGATGTAGACATAACTTGCATTCAAACTAATAGAATTTCAAACTATAAAAGGAAATGACCATCTCCTACAATCAGGAATATAGTGGCCATTGTTATAAGCATTTGTAATAGTAGAAGAAAACATCAATGTGCTGTTCTTGTCCATATCCATGTGCTAAAAACAAATTCTAATCGCAACCAATTTTTATCACTAGACAACACCAATCACGACAAATCCTAAGCTCACTCAAGAAAAATCTTATGCTCATCAACTTTCTGAGACTCCACCCCAACTACCTTGAGGTAAGCCACGACAGATCACGAGCTCACACACACGCTCATCCACTCAGAAAATTCACTGCAGCTTCCCTGAGTTGACTGACGGCGGATACCGTGGAAGAAGGGGATCGCTTTGGTTGTCTCTTAAAATTAAATAAAAAAGTTAGGAATATTGTTTGTAGAAACAAAAAATGGCGTAAAATACGAGTTCTAGAATCCAGATTCAAAAACGAGAAAGGTGGATCCGACATCTAACTTTCCTAAAACTTAAAAAAAGAAACTAAACACTAAAAAATATATGATTTCCCAAAACAAATTAAAAAATTGTTCTATCCACGTTTTCCATGTCCATACATTTTATATAATCTTTTTAAAATATATTAAATATTTATATGAAAGTGGATCTTAAAATGAAGAGAAAAAAAAATTACTATCTATTGTGAAATTATATTTTTTATATTTATTAAATTTTAAGAAAAAACAAATAGAAACATTCGATATGATGAATAAAGAGAAAGATAGAGAGGAGAGAGTAGATAGGAGAAAATATAATCATAGTTAATTGTCTCTGGGTAAGTTAGTTTGGTTTGGTCAAAATTGGGGGTACGAAAAATATTCAATAGGCATGTGTCTAGCGGAAGTGTAATACAAAAGATGAAAAGTGTCATCAAAGTAAAAAAATCTTTATTAAATATTGTTTTATAAAATTGGGTTTGCATTTGACAATGAAAATACGGTACTAAAGAAAATAATAAAGCAATTAACACTTTTTCAAAAAAAAAAGAAAGCAGTTAACAGCCTAACCAACATAACTGAATTTACTATATCAGTGTGATTATACGTATCAAATTTTCAAAAATATTGAGATTCACACTGACAACTAAAAAGATGGTGCATTAAACGCCAAACACAGAGATGCAGCGAATAAGAGACCCAAAGGCTGTTGCTCATGGATTCTGAAACCAGTTTTACAAAACCTCTCTAATGTACAACCAAGTTCTGTATTCTATGCACATAAGTGCCCGGTTAAGCAGCTTCTGGTTAACTGATGTTACTTCGATTTAAAACAAATTGACTGTGCCAGCTCCTGCTTTTTCCAGTTTCAATAGTAGACAACAACACACTCAGCAACTCTTCTGCTTCTTCCT